TTGGAAATTTTTTTAAGAGACTGAAAATCCATGAATGATATTGTTATATTTATTTTGTGTGTCAAACTAAATGTATCTTTAGAAAATTTCTTATTTATATTTATATAAATGATGAATTTCAGGGAATATGAGAATTATTGTTCATTTTGAAAATTATTGTTCAAAACGTTAAAATAGTATTGAATGACTAATTGTTGAGGATACTTGAGAAGAGGGAATTGTGTTATTTATTGGATGATAAATTGGAATAAAAGTAATTATATTCATCTTGTGTTATTGGCATATCAATTCATTTGATTACATTAAACTTTGAAAGTTGATTTGAAAGCTTGCATTGAGAAAAGAATGTTGAGAAACAAGTTTTCATAGAATGGTTTTGGGGTAAATACGTTGGTAAGTCTTGATAAGTGGTGTAAATGATATTGAATAAGTTGGCCTGAGAGTTCGGGGTGAAAGACCAAAAACCCGCGCGGATAGGTGTCGAGCCTTCCGGTTAATACCGATAAAAATGACAAATTGGTAGCACTTGTATAGTTTACTTGCAGACACCGGCCTAAGGATTACCAGAGTTGTATTTACCGCCCTTGAAATAAATTGTTATGTTTTGAACAATTGAAATTGCATGATATCATTGAGCATGATGGTTTTCAAAGGATGAAAATGCGATTTATCTTCAAAAAGGGCATAGCATGACATGTGCATTTCATCTCTTGAAACTTGTATAAAATGTATATATTTTGTTAAGAATTTCCTACTAGACTTTATGCTCACCTACGAGATTTTTGTGCAGGAAAAGATGTAGTGATCCTACCCAACTAAGAGCGTGGAAGTATGCGTGTTGGGAGTACAATGCTCTCATTTTGCTGTGACTCTGTGTGTAAGCCAAGGGCTGTGTTTGTGTGGGTTTGAATAACCATTTTGTGTAAGCAGTCTCTAGCCTTGGAAACTTTTAAACCCTTGGGGGTATTTATTTGTTTATTTACTTGTTGGATTAACATATTGTTACATGAAGAACTATTGTATCATGTAATGTAAGTTTGGAAATTTATATTCAGTTTTCCTTGAAAGAGCCATGATTATTGTATTATCATTTGGGCTAGAAATTTGGGGCTTTACAAGTACAAGAGGGGAAGGTCATGAATTGAGCACCCCCGCTCGCCCGATCAAAGATCGGCCTCTACTAATCATGATATGAATCTTATTTGCATTATATGCTCTTGTTCCGGTTATTATGCTAGCATTACTATGTGATACGCACACACACACAAGTATAGACTAATTCACAAGAATTGGAACTTTTCGATTCATGTTTGTTTTGAAAATTGTTTTCAAATATGTACCACTTGAAAGAGTGATCGCATATGAATATTACTCAAATTACTCCAATTCAAGCAATTAGCTTTCATTCACAGGCATTCAGGCAATTATAGCACTTAAGCAATTAGCCTCATGGCAAGCATGCTAAACATGGCAACAATCACACGCATGCGATATGCTAAAGCAAGTAAAAGGCTCACCTAGTACTCAAAGCAAAAAGATAAAGAGTTAGAAAAATGCATGATCCCTAACTATGTAATATGACTAATGCAACACATGCAAAAATGCAACTAATAGGCTCGGCTACTAATATGGCATATGTGAAGCAATTTGATAGCATGCGGTTTAAGCACGTTTTCAAAGAAGTATTTAAACGACAATGTAAGTTAGAATTATGAATCGAGTCTCGGTGCATGTAATACAAATGGATGCAAACATGAAGCATGCTAAACAAAACATGATATTCCTAAACTAACCATCATAAGCTAGTAAATACAAGGGAGAATGATATGGGGTTGAAAGATATACATATTATTACATTACGCTCTCACAAAGGAGAGTCCGAATGAATAAACTAACTAACTAGCTAACTAAAGTTAGGCTATGCTAAGCTAATTATTACAAAACAAATTAAATTAGCTAAACTACTTAGCTAATTATTACAACAAATGAATTTAACTATTCTAGTTGACTAAAACAATTACAATATGAAATTGACCAACTAGTTAACTAATTAATTAATTACAACACTTTATAAAATTAACTAGCTACAACTAATTAATTACAACAAATGTCTAAGCTAAATATTTAAACTTAAACATGCTCGGTATGCGAGGAATGCTTATGCACATGCTTGGTTTCTACCCGAAAAGGCCACTGTTTTGCTTCCAGAAGGTCTCTGTTGCACTGTAGAACACTTGCACCTTTGTCCACTTCCAGAATATCTCTGCTCTGCTAAAAAACACACTGTTGGATTTTACATTAGTGGCCAGCTGGCCGGCCAGGAGTGATAGCCTGCCGGCCACCAGTGATGGCCGGCCGGCCATAGAAAGTGGCTTGCCAGCCACTGCTGCACAGTTCATCTTGCTGCAATAGAGAACAAACAAAGCATGCATAGGGTATTCTCAAGGGTTTGTTTGCACAATTCACCCATTCTTATCATGAACAAATCAAATGAGCAGTAAACTTGGTCCACAAACCACCAATTCAAGCAATTTCATTGCATGATGACTCATAGACTAAAGTGTGCAATTTCAATAATTGCAACAAAACAAGACACACGCCTCCTCCCTTTCATGAATTGATCAAGGGAAGTGGTGACCTTGAAAACTTGAACCATTTTACATCACTAATGAGTATGAAATGCCCCAAGCTTCCATGTGTTCAATTAACATCTGATTGAACACAAAAATAAATTCTTATCTTGCACTATTTTAGTCTCATTTTAATTACTTCCTTTTAAATTACCATCCATTCTTTAATTCATTGAGTCCAATGATGAGTTTAAGTCCTCTAATGGAAAGAAGGTTCAAACTAAGTGTTGTCTTGGACATGAAAGAGACATCATACTGTTGGTAATGAATTCCCAAAGGAATTAAACCATGAAGCATGGCATCTCAATCTCATGCTTAAAATAAACAAGTAGTTTGAACCACTTTCAAAGCAAAACAAAAGCCAAGAAATGAGGGGGGTTGCAGAGATGATTAAGAGTGATTACAAGTATGGAAAACCATAAATAAATGCAATCAACTCAAATAAGATGGAGTCTAAGGCCTAGAACACCAAACTTATGAGGATAATTATACTATAAGCATGCAAAACAAAGGCTAAATTTAACCATCAACCAAAAACAGTACTAAAACAATCTAAAAAAAGTCCTAATACATGTTGGAATTAACACAAAAAAAGCTAGATTAATATGCTAAAACATAGCACAAGCTAAGCTAGTAAGCAAAACACAAGGGAGGGAGGCTAACCCCTCCAAATTTGGACTTCAAAACATGATTTTGGCCACTGAAATAACTCTGAAAAATAGTATTTAAAAGCTCAAAAATAGATAGTAAAAGGATGGAAAATACAAGGGAAAAGACCTTCAAAACAAGGTGCAAAGAAGGGTGGATCACCCTTCAACCTTTAATAGCCTTAAAACCCAAGCTTCAGCCTAAAAATACAGAATTTTAATAGCCAAAAAAAAGTTGGAAAATAGCAAGAAAAGGAGTAGTTAAAGCAAGTAAATAGGCAAAGCCTTATACCTCTTGAAGAGAAGATTCAATTCCAAGTAATAAAACCAAGCAAACACACCATCAAGAGTTCAAACAAGGCTCAAAGACACCTTAACTTGAAAATGAGAAGGTTTGGTTAAGAGTGTATAAGCAAATGTGAAGAGTGTATAGGTAAAGAATAAGGAATTTGCTAGAGAGAGAGAATTGTAGAGAGAGACAGGAAAAATGTTTCTCCAAAAATTTTCTAACCCCATGGCAAAAGGGGAGGCTCTCTATATATAGAAAACATGAATTTCCTTCAAGAACATCCAGCCCTACACGTGGGAGTAGATACAAGCATCTATGCAAACAGGTAGCACAGCTGTCACAAAATATCTACAAAAGACACTGGTAGCCAGCCGGCCATCATTGGTGGTCAGCAAGCCACATCAGTGGCCGGCAACCAAGAGTGATGGCCGATAGCCCCTAGAGGTGGCTGGCAGGCCACCAGAGGTTACAGGCTTGAAGAACCAAGGGTTTGGTCCAAAAATAAGGCAACAGGTGTGTAAGATTTGAAAGGCTCAAAGCTGTGGCGTTCCGCTGAGGACTTCAAGCACTTGACAAGCATATAGACTCATCATCAGGTGTGCAAGCGATGGCATCCAAGTTGTAAGGGTCGTCAAAAATGGGGTGTCTACACATATCCATTTGTTTAATTTTGATTTACTATTTATATATTATATAAGTAAAAGGGATTTCATTCATAAGGCCTCTAAAAGCTTCGAGTTTCTAATCTAAATTTCATAATTTTTTGATTTTTAAAAATCAATACCTCTTATTCAAGCAAAAATAAAATAAAAATTAATATCCCTTAATTTATGATTTTCAAATAGAAACCATATCAAATCTTTAAAAAAAAAAAAAATGAAAAGTATACTAATCCATTTCAAAATTCAAATTTGAGGGTCACTAAATATGGAAAAAAATCTATTAATTTAAATTTAAATTTGATACAATATAAATTTAAAATTATAATAATTTATTCCATGATTTATAAGTTTTAAATAAAAATTTAAAATTATCATAATTAGCTCATAACTTTTGTATTAATGAGCAATAAGAGTGACGTCGTGATTATTTATATATTTTACAAAAGAATGCTTTTAAGAAGATATACTATGAGAATTTTAAAACCTCAGACAAAATCAATATACTATTATAATTGCAAAACGTTGTCATCTTATTAAAGCTGAAAGTTGCAATTCTTTATATTTTTTATTTTTTTTAATTTTTGTTAATATGTGTCACAATATAATTGGTCTACAAATTAATTTTATATTCTTAAAATAAAATTTTAAATTTTTCAACAAGAGAAAAATTCACATTTAAGACATTTTCAACAAATAAGCATTTGATGAAATCAGTCTTTCTATTCATTGAAATAAATCAAATACCACATTTGTGCTACCTTTTTTAAACTTGTTTTCCAGGAGTACACCATTATTTGGAATTAAAAGTCCATTCTTACCTTTCTCTCAAACTCACAGCCCTTGGAGGGGTGGACAAGTTACAAATAGAACCTTCTAGCATTGTGGCAGGCAAAGCATTTACCACTGCACCAAGCTTAGCCGTTACCCCATTACTAGGAAATGAAAGAGATAATGTAGAGAAACTAAATGGGAAAAAGAGAGGTACTAATGTCGTGTTTGGTTCTTGGATTTGTGGAGAGAAAAGAAAGGGAAGGGAAAGGTTATGAAATATCAAGATCAGTTCACATCATAGTTGTCAATACCATACCAGAGAGAAAACGGAATACAAATAGACCAATACCGTTCCGGTTAACTTCTCGATAAGTACCAGCCAATTTCATAAATACTGGTCAATACCGACCGGAAAATGTAATTCTGGCAAAATTGAACGGTATGCAAGCAAAAGTGAATTTTTGAATTTCTATTATATATATATATATATATGTATTATATGATATCATCTTAGTTCAGAATTCTGATCTCATGAACTTCTCTGTTCTCATTTCCAATTATTATACATCCAACTTTCCATATGATCCAGTGAACTGAAAAGATCGTAAAATAAAAAATAAAATATCTTCACAAAACCAGAAACCCATAATGGTGCTGGCGAAAATTCATAATTGGGAACCTAAATACAATTTGCGAAAAAATCCACAAATAAAGGTTTGCTGCCTCTTTGATGAGGTCACTGTATATTTCACGGAAAAGAAAGAGAAAAAACAAAAAAGAAGGAAAAATGGTTGCCTACTGGAAATAGTTCAAAGGTATAACTGTTCACATTTATGATCATGTACACCAAAGTTCCACTGTAATGAAAAGTACCAAATGAATTGATTATCAATAATTAAATAAAGAAAAACAAAAGAATGAAACTTGATTGAGTACCAAATTATTCTCAGCAACCAAAGCCTCTATATTTTGTTGATTTAATTCTTCTGGTCGAAGCCGTTCAGAATCATTGAATTTAGCTACATTCCAAAAAAGAACACACATGTTATCACCATGTAAGAGCTAAACCAAACACTCCTACTAAGTGAAAAGATGGGAAGCCTTTAGACAATTAGTATGTGCTTGACCAGAAAAGTGTCACATGCAAAGCAAGCCTTATTAAAGGAAGAAACATACCACTACAGAAGTACAAGATACACATACTTTGAATGGTCCACTTGAACCAAACAGCCCATAACAGAAAGTAGAATCTAATAGCCAACAGAGTTGAGAGCACTGAAAATACCTTCACTTTGACCTTTTCTTGAAGCTTTTGAGAATATAAGAATATCCTGGGGATTTGCAACCTACAAGATCAAGAAACAGTTAAATAAGAGAAAGGAAAAATAAAAGTTTTCTCTTCCTAATCAATATTATTAGATGATAAAAAAATACCTTCCCCACATACTTTTGCCCAAACCTTTGTGGATTTATTGTCATAAATCCAGAGTAATCAACCTGTCAAATCAAACAGCACAGCTGATTAGGAAATGCATCAGACAGACATGCTGAGAACAAGCAGAGAACTCAGAGATGCCAAATGTGAACATCACATTTACGGTAGCATTTGAAACAAAAATAGGAAATATTACCTTTACTCGGACTAATGGAAGCTTGACCTCTGAACTGTTAGTACCCTTTTGGCTAGACTTGTCTATCAGATTTCTGACCTAAAACAAGGTAAAGGTATTGCAATACAAATATGGCGAAGAATAGAACACTGACAGCAGAACATGCCACCATAAGCAGCAAAAAGATGGCAGACATTAATGGATTTATGAAATTTCTTGCCAATGCAAGGATGAAATGTTAAGAAGAAGCAGAAGAAAGGCTTACCACTTTGTCCAAATGTTCAAGAATTGAATTTTGATCATTAGGATCAATGTCGGATTCATCCTTTAATACTAACTGCATCATGAACATTGAGTAGGTCAACAGAAGTTATTTCTGAGATCAGCATAAACAACACTGGACTTACCTCAGTATATTCAAAAGGCCTCACTGAGTTTAAAGGTATCTTGGTTGGACGATATTGATTTCCCTATATAAAAATGATTTGCAATAAATGAACAGTGAGGTAGCTAATAAAATTAATTGAAGAAGAAAAAAAAGCAACTGCTATTGCAAGATTAAAATATAAATCATAAAATAATAGCCAGAATGGTTCTTGTCAAAATTGCCCAACCTTGATCTCTAAAAGAAGTACATGTTTCGGCTTTGATTCTCCATCAATTAGCGATGTTGCCACAGAAGAACCTGGTTGAGTAATGTGGAAACCCATACCTGGAACTTCCTATTAAGATCACAACAGACCTTCAATAAGATACCATAAAAGAACTTCAACTGATAAAGAAACAACTACATCATTGGCACCTGAGGGTCAATAAGACATTCATGTTCATGCCCCCACACAATGAAGTCCATGAACCGTGGCAAAAAATGCTCGTTTATGGCATTTTTAGGATTTGTCTTCACTCTGCAAATAACATAAGTAGCAAGATCTGTAACTGGAAACATGAAGTTCTGAAGTTTTACATCAAAGAACATGTAAGCACCTGAAAGCTATACGGTTAATTGATTTTCAAGATAAACAAAGAACTTCTCTCTTCATGAACAATTTAATACCATATCTGAGAAATAAATAAAACCTGTTCTGATGAAGTACTAGAATGTTGAACCAGTCTGTTACTTGACAGCCTTCTTGAGCTTCAGGTCGCATCCACTGTACAGCATGTGGCGTCTGAAGTTTCAAAAATAAAAAAATGTGAGTCCTGCCAGTAATCAAACAGTCCAAAAAGCAATTATTCCAAATGAATACCTGAAACATTCTATTAAGCCGTTCATCTCTAATATTTCCAAGGCCATACAGAGCTACAGATGTTGAACCCTGCGATTCAAAATGAAAGACATTCTATACAAGTTACTAAATGATCGATATCCAAAACATCTAGTTAATGAGATCTAATGACAGACCTTCCTGATGAGTATGGGATAGACAGTGATCTGCCCGACACCAGAACCTCCAAGAACCATTTTCCCAAAATAGTTCACAAGATTGCATGCAGAAAGGATATCAACTGCAGAAAGGTTGTCCTGTCACAAGAATAGAAAACAACCAACTAAAACTTTTTCAATATCGTAGGTCATAAATCATGTTTTGATCAAAAAGTACTTCAAACTGAAAGAAGTTTGTCGCTTTTGATATTGGATAACAATGGCAAGTACTTGGACACTGAGGTTTGTTGCTCTCAATATTAAAAACTTCAAACTGAATCTTGAATAGTTTCTGTATTTCATCTAGACTATTTGCAATGGACGAATCTAATTCATTTTTTTTTTCTTACACTTGACGTTCTACTAGGCATGCCAAAAATATATGTTGCCTTTTTTTCCTACGACGAAAAATACTATAAATGCGAGTGTGCTAGCAAGAATTAAAAAATCCTTACAAATTAAATTTAAGCCAATTATCAATCGATTGTGTTGACAGTTCTTTGCCTCAATTAAGAGAACTTCAAAATTGCCAAGTGTGGATAAAAGAAAAATTAAAAGAAGAAGGATGGAGATGGAGAAAGATTATTGAGTAACAATCAAACTAACCATTAATTTACCTCTACTCCTATGCTTCAAAAAAGAAGTGCATAAAATAAAGTGTAGAAAATTTACCTCTACTCCTATGTTTCGAAAATGAAGTGCAGGAAATATAAATGACAATAAAATAAAAATCAATTTTCTTTGATTTGAGTTATGGATTCCTTTACAATGTAGCCATGAATGACTATTTATAGGCAAATATTTGTAAAAAAAACTACCTAATAACCACCATATCCTTCCATCTACGTACTTCATACTCCATGATCTTCTACTTCATCTCTATGTCTCCATAACTTCTTTATCTCCAATTCATGGTCCATGTTCTCCACTTTGTCCTCCATGATCTTTTTACATGTATTTAATGATTCATAACTTCTCATAACCTCCAAATGTGTTGGAGAATGCCCCATGTCATGCAATTATATAGATAATAACTAATAATAAAATTATTTATTTATGGTGCCAACATTATCCCTCGCAACTCTTTCAAAATGAGGAATTTCGAATTCATAAAGAGTTGTACATCAATTTAGACCATATTTGGCAATTAATAAATGTATTCAAAGGGAGACACGCATTCGAAAGTTCTTTTAACATGATTCAATTTTGTTAAAAAAAGAACTAAAACCTTGCTCCGAAGGTGCTCACGACATATTTTAGAAGCTTTAAAGATGATTATTTTATTAGCCATTTCATCAAAATTAAATTTTGATGTAGCCCATAAATCCAAAATAGGTTTTGAACATCGAAAGTCGTAGTATAATATAGCCTTGAAAATTCAATTGCTTTGATATTTTCAACAATGTCAAATATTTTAAATCTATCAACGTGGGTTGACCATAATCTTTAATCACGTTTGGTCTAAGAACATGTTCTTAGGCTAAATAACTTTCATCATGCATTGACAAATGGGATTTTTTTTTTTTTTAGCCATTCATGGCTCATGAAAATCCTCCTTAGACATATTATTTATATGACTTGACTTTCTAAGAATGAGTTTTTCAATCCCCCGAGCCTTATATGAAACATCTTTTTTGACCATGTTTGGCTCAATAACAAGCTTTTTAGCCATGTTATTTTTATAAGTTGGCTTTTTAAAAATGAGTTTTTAACCCCCCCGAGCCATTGATAAAACAACTCTTTCCTTTTGCTATTTTCAATAATGAAAGAATTCTGAAAAAAATTCACCAATTCCAGCCATTAAAGCCTCGGTTAAAGACTTGGTAGTGAGAGTTGACAACTCCTTATCAAGTTCATGAATTTTCCAATTAAATCGTGTCCTTTTTCTTTCACCAAATAATATTGTAATGGATGCAAGTTTGTTTTATCAAGAAAATGAATCTCTTTTTGAAGATTCAGATTTTTTTGTTTACACCAAAAGATTTCATTTAGGCTATTTGAAATGGACGAATCCAATTCATTTTTCATTTCTTATACTTGACGTCCCACTGGGCATGCTAAAAAAATATTGGCTTATTTTTCCTACGAAGGAAAATACCACAAATGCGAGCGTGCCAACAAGGATTGGAAAATTCTTACAAATTAAATTCAAGCCAATTATCAAGTGATTATGTTGACGGTTCTTTTGCCTCAATGAAGAGGGCTTCAAAATTGCCAAGTATAGAGAAAAAAAATTAAAAGAAGAAGGAAGATGGAGAAAGATGATTGAGTGAACAATCGGAGTGATTGAGTGAACAATTAAAGTAACAATTAATTATCTTTACTCCTATGTTTTGAAAAGGAAGTGTATAAAATTACCTCTACTGTTATGCTTCGACAATGAAGTGTTGAAAATAAAGTACAGGAAATATAAATGACAAGAAAAAATAGAAATCAATCGTCTTTGATTTGAGTTTGATGATCCTCTACAATATAGTCATGAATGGCTATTTATAAGCAAATATTTGTAGGAAAGAACTATCTAATAATTACCATATCCTTCCATCTCCCACACTTCACACTCCATGATCTTCCACTTCGTCTCTATGTCTCCATAACTTCTTTTGACCTCTAATTCATGCTCCATGTTCTCCACTTTGTCCTCCATCTTTTCATATGTGTTTAATGATATATAACTTCTCATAACCTCCAAATAAGTGGGAGAGTGCCACATGTCCTGCAATTATATAGATAATAAGAGGAGTGATGGAGACCCCCTCCAATCACCACCCCCACCACCCCCCACACATGTGGCAGGTGGTGATTGGAAGACAAGGGAAAAAAAAAGAAAAGAAAAAGAAAATCCAACCAATGAGAGAGAGAGTGGGTTAAAGGGGGTGGGAAAAAAAGGGGGTCTTAGACATTTTTGTAGATAATAATTAATAATAAAATTGTTTATTTATGGTGCCAACAAAATCCCATTTTGAGAAATGATGATCCATTTAATCCCAAATATTTTTTTTATAAACCAATTAGTCTCATTGATTTTGAAAAAATAGATTTAATATATTATTTAGAAATTAGATATACCATTATACTTTTTTCTATTATGTTTCCTTTTTTTTTATTTTCTTTTTTTCTTTTTTTGGTGCTAGAAATATAAGATACCCAATTTATGGAAATTAAATTTGAGAAGAATTTTTATATGAGAATTTTTTTTATTTGGGAAATTTTTTCAAAAAGAGTACAAAAATGACTTGAAATATGGGATTCTTCAAACATTGCAAAAGGATGTGGGATTCTTCAAATATTTCAAAAGAGTACAAAAACTCCTTAGTAAGTTTTGAACAAATGTATAATTTTAAACTGTAATACTCCAATGTAACACTCAAACGTAACATTCCAAAAAAATTCTATAGTGTATTTTTTTTTTCTTTCTAAACATAACTCTCCAATGTAATATTAAAAAAAAAAGAATGTGAGATTCTTCAAATCATTCCAAAAGGAGTACAAATATTTCTTAGTAAGTTTTGAACAAATGTACAATTTCAAACTGTGAATGTTACGTTTAAAAAAACTAAACTAAGGAGTTTTCTTGAAGTCCTCCCATTTTTATTTATTTATTTCTACAACTTATATAAAAAGTATGTAAGTATGGTGTAATGTTGCTACTTCTTTGTGTAACTCTCCTGCTTCTTTGGTTTATAAGAGCTCTTCCCTTACAGATTTGGGCAGGCCACGTGGGCTTCAAATTAGCCACACACAGTAGAAGAAAACAAATTTCATCATTCCTCCGACAAACTCCTAACTCCTTCCTGCTACTAAGCGTCTAACGCCCTTGCTTGCTTCCTAACTCTTTACAAGAGACAAATTGTATTGCTTGATTGTCTTCTTGGTGCGCTATGTGCTCAAAGAAAGCCTGCAATTGCAATTGTAGACACCCCATTTTTGACCGCCCTTAAGACTTGGGAGCCATTGATTGCTTACTTGATGGTGCAGGCTATCCAATGCAAATGGTCGATTTCTTCGGCAAGCGGAGTTTCAATTCCTAACCTTACACCCCATTTGTGTACCAAAACCATTTTGACCAAAATGATTTTATACCTTAAAACCTTTCTTTCAAAATATTTTTGAAAAAGTTCTTACAATGTTTCGAGGCTCGCATTTCGTTAAGTGTTGCGTTTTTCGGTAAACTGAGCAAGGACAAAGTGGAAATGAATGAAAGAGAGGTGAAATCTTTGAAAAAATCTTTAAAAATTTTGAAAAAGATGGGCATGAACCGTTAAGAGAGAGTCGAGCAGCCCTCGCGAAATCAGGCCTATCCATTCGTACAAATTGGATTTTAGCTATGAGGCCGCCACCATTGAAAAGTGGACTTCCAAGGCTTCATTTTACATGCCATAATCTCCAAAAGCTGAGTTCGGATGAGGGAGCCATGGCTGGTTGAAGTTAGGCATCAATTCGGTTAGGACCGAAACTGAGCAGTCTTCACTAAAAGAGGCATATCTTTTTACACACTTGGAATTTTGATGTTAGACTTCTACCATTGGAAAGAAGACTTCTAGGGATTCAATTTAGGCTCAATAATGACCTGCAAAGGGGTCCAGATGAAGGAGATATACCTGTTTGAAGTTAGGGCCAGAAACTAGTTTTTGCTTTCCAGCCACTAGTGAAGCTTGTCGGCAATGTGTTGGCCACAAATGGAGTTTGACGGCCATATGTCGGCCAGGAGTGACCCTTTTCGGCCACAAGTGTCCAGGAAGCTTAGATTTTGCAGATATTTTCCTCCAGCTATATCACATTGCTCCAGCTGTCTCTAATTCAGATATTTTCGACATGAGCTCTTGTGTTTCTATATATAGAGGCCATTCTTTATTGTTTTCAAGTTTGGAAAGATTTGGGAGCCTCTATCTCTATAATCCTCTCTCTCTGTAATTTTCTCTCTCTAGATTTCTCTCTCTCTTGAACCTTTGTGCATACAAGTAGAGATACACTTCTAGTTTGCCTATAAACCCTTAACCAAAGTTGCTTACCTTTGGGTTGAGATTCCTTAGAGCCTTGTTTGGGCTCTAGCAGGAGGATTGAGCTTGGTTTGTTGCCTATTTTGTGCCTAAGGTATAACACTTACCTTATTTAAGCTTGCTTTGAACACTTGTTTTGC